CTGGTGCATAGAGGCTGAAAACCGGCGGGTTGGGCCTTTCTGGTTGAGCCCTCCCAGGCCCCCCAGGGGCTCACGTCTCCCGATAGAGTTCAAGACCCTACGGGTCATGCGTGACCTGCATAAGACAGGGCCTAAGTTTCATTCCTGGTGCTGCTGAATATAAATTAAAGATGTGCTGGGTCCTAAGGATGAAAGTCCTTCCTGGGCGAATGAACACCAGTGGGATCGAATCCCAAGGACCACTCTTTCATCCACAGAACCGCTCAGACCTTTCTTCCTCACTTTGGCTGCCATGGAAAACAATTAATGAGAGAGTGATGGTTGGATACTAGGCTTTCACTGACATCTGTGTCATGTAGACTGATGCCAATTTATAATGCTTAACATTTGGAATCTATGTCATGTTAGGTATAGAAGAAAGTTAAGTCAATAAAAAAAATTGGGGGGGAAAAAGTAAACCAAGCAGTTCAGATTCTTTTCCCCAAATAGTTGTGGAAACTGCCATAGATTTTTTCTTTGTTAAGCAAAGAGCCTGTGTCCTGGCTAATACTTCATTTTTTCCTTTCTTTTTAAAAAATATTTTCTGTTAACAATAGAAATTTAATAGCAATACATATTTTTTCATATTCTCTTTGCCATTCAATACTAATATTTTTTCTACCAAGATTAATGCTCTAGAGAAAGTAGAATAATTTCTAAGTAAAAAGAAAAGATAAATTGACCATTAAAAGAGTTGGCATTGTTGGGATCTTTATTTTTTTTCTATGATCATATCTGGAGTCCAAGGTCACAGAGGTCAATACATTAGGATCCTCTGTGAGCTGTATTATGGATTCACTACCAGGATCTCACCATTCTACAAGGAAGTGATCATCCATGTCAAGAGAGGGGTTCGGCAGGGTAATACCATTTGACCGAAACTCTTCAGTGCCACTCTCAAGCATGTCATGCGACAACTGGAATGGGAAGGAATGGGAGTGAAGATAGACAGTCGGCAACCACACCACCTCCACTTCGCTGATGACATCATTCTTAATAACACCAAACATTAGCCAAGCGGCACAAATGCGGGCCGACTTCGACCGTGAGTGTGGAAAGGTCAGACTACAGCTGAATCTCACGAAGACAATGTTTATGAGAAATGGACTAACATTCCATTCGCTCTCAACAAAACAAACATCTCCGAATGCAACAGTTATGTGTACCTAGGTTGAGAAGTCAACATGATGAATGACCTGGCACCTGGGTTGCACAGGAGGAAGAACGTCAACTTCTGGAACGCCTTCAATAACGACAAAAAAATAGCTAAGAGGAAGAAGAACCCGCGGCTCCAGGCACATCTCTTTGATTCCACTGTCCTTCCTGCATTGACATACACATCAGAGACCTGGGCCCTATGAAAACAGGATGAGAACGCTATTCGGGTCTCCCAAAGAGGAATCGAAAGAGCTATGCTTGGAGTATCACACTTCACTCAAGTGAGAGAAAGAATCTGGAGTTCTGACCTCCATTTACGATTGAGAATCAGGGACGCTGTCTCGTATGCCAAGGCATCAGAAATCAGATGGGCTGGACACGTAATGAGATTTGGAGATGACCACTGGACTAGAGCCGTTATTGACTGGATTCCACGGCTGTCAAAAGATCATGTGGTCGCCCACCTACGAGATGGTCAGACTTCTTCGTCAAGACCCTGAACGATCAGTTTGAGGCTCTTCATGTTCCTGGAGTGTGAGCAGACGCCATTGGGCTACACTAGCACTCGACAGGGATGAATGAAGATGTTACTGGCGCCTGCTCAAGCAAATTGATAATTAACAGGATGTCAAGTGATCAAGTGATCAAGTGATCATATCTGGAAAAAGGTCTAACATACCGGCCAATCCCTTCCTTTAAGACTCTGTATTTTGATACAGCATGGCTTGATTTGTTTACTCGGAGTATCAGATCTACATAGCCATTGTTCTAACCCATGATCCATAATTAAAATCCTGCTGAGAGACACTCTATCTTAAAATGACTCCCATAAATAAAATCTGTCTTTAAGAAGAATCAGGAGGAGTGGAGAATATCAGAATAACCCCTGGTTATTTCCTATTTCTTTGGCCCAGTGAAGACCCCAAAAGGAGAGGAAGAAATACATACAAAGTTCCTTTTTTCTAGAAAGATGGAGAAAAAGACAAACTCAGGTTGAGTGTGGAAAATAATACAGAGCGGTGTGATGTTAACCCCCAAGAACCAGTGATGAATAATGATTCTCCGTGGGGAGTACAACACACCCTGTTGTGCTCAGGGCTTACTCCTGGCTCTTTGCTCAGAAGTCTCTCCCAGAGGACCATAAGGGCTACCTGGGATGGTACCTGGGTCAGTCACGTGCCAGGCAAGCATTTTACCTGCTGTACTCTCTGGCCCCTGGTCCCATAATAAAATATTTTGTTTTGGGGCCACACCTGGCGGTGCTTAGGGCTTACTTCTGGCTTTGTGCTCAGGGATAAATCTAGGCAGATTTGGGGATCCTATGGGGTGCTGGAGATCGAATCTGGGTCAGCCTGCATGTGGGCAAGTGCCCTACCTGCTGTATTATTGCTCCAATAAATTATAAAAACTATATAATTTGGTCTTATATTGTTCTGGGGTCATATCTGGTGATGCTCAGCGGTTACTCCTGACTCTGCTCTCAAGAATCATTTCTACTAGAACTCAGGGGATGATATGGGATGCTGGGGATCAAATGAAGGTTGATTGCTTGCAAGACTGTATGATCTCTCAGGCCTCCTAAAAGTTCTTTAAAAAAGAGAAAGAAATGTCGCTTCTGTGTCTTCGTTATATTATATCATCATATTCATAATATAGGCTGGAGCGATAGCACAGCGGGTAGGGCATTTGCCTTACAAGTGGCCAACAGTGCCGACCCAAGTTCAATTCCTCCGCCTCTCTCGGAGACCCTGGCAAGCTACCGAGAGTACGTCGCCCGCATGGCAAAGCCTGGCAAGCTACCTGTGACGTATTCAATATGCCAAACACAGTAACAATTGTCACAATGGAGACGTTACTAGGCCCACTCGAGCAAATCGATGAACAACGGGAGGACAGTGACAATGATTCATAGCATTATGATTCTCTGAGTTCATGACCCACAGACGTACACAAACCAGTCCCCCCTCACCTGTCCCTCTCCTCACACTGCCCTACCCAGGTTCGCCCAGTCTCCCTCCATCCACCACGCGTCCTACTTCTGTCTTACCTCCAAGCCTCTGCTCTGTCCTTCACCCTTCTAGTTCTTTCCTGCCGTTCCTAGCCTCCACTCTTTCCTGGAGCACATTCTTTTCTCTGCCACACTTACTGAATTTTACAGTTCCTTTCAAATCTAGCTCCTTTCACTCTTTCAGTGAACATTTTTTCATGCCACAAAATGGAAGCTCCAAAAGATATCTCTAAGGCATTCACCCCCTGCACCTCCATCTATAATTCTACTCAAAAGACACCATCGCTATTCATCACTTCCTCCACTGTGGGGTATCTCATTGGGGTTCAGTTGGAACATCACTTTTTTTTTTTTAGTTTAAATAAATTGATAGGGAACACACCTGGCAGTGCTCAGGGATTACTCCTGGCTTTGAACTCAGGAATTACTTCTGATGATGCTCAGGGGACCATTATGGGATGTTGGGGATCAAACTCAGGTCGGCTGCATGCAAAGCAAATGCATCCCCCACCCGCTGTCCCCACTTGCTCCAATCCCAGTTGGTACATCACTTTTGCCCTCTTAGACTACCTGCAGCTTGGATGTAACTGGTAGATGGGGCTTCCACAACCATAAGCTTCGATAATCTAGCCTAGCTCAGTGTCTCATTAGGGTCTGTGACCCAGCATATGGTTGTAACAGTGACAAATAGAGACCCAGAGGAAAAGCAATTAGAATTTTAAGTGAGGTAGTCATAAATGATATGGCATAATGTTCTTGCTCTTAAAAATCATATAACTATGACTATTTAAGCACATTAATTATTTGCTTCATGCTGTGCAGGCAGCCAAGAGATAATGACTTTTGCAAAAAAAAAATCTATTCAAATGCTCCATTTGCTTTCATTGCGTATTTCAAGTTTGTTTTTTTGCCATCTCTTTGCGATCCACCATCTTCCCCAAGTTTCTGCCAGTTAGATACCAAAACAGATGAGATGAAATAAAGATGCAACTCAGTTCTCCAGCTGGTTGGTCAGGATCCTCCTTCATATAGGTATCGGGAGTGTGTGTGTGTGTGTGTGTGGGGGGGGGGGTGACCATAGAAAATGATGTTAGGAAAATGAAATGTGCTCTCAAGAGCAAAATACTCAATAGAAGAGAAAAAAGCACAGGATTGAAGGAGGAGCAGGGAATAGAGAAGGTCACCTAGAATTGTTCTCACACTGGTGGAAATGAGTTCGTCTTGCCCCATCTGTACTGGCTAATACAAGACCATGCATCTTCCAGAGATAAGGAAGGATGCTTTCCGATTAAACATTATCAATAATGCCCCTGGAAATGTGATGGATGAGGTAAAATGAAGAGGACTGGGCATCAGCGGTGGCTTTGTCTTATTTATGGTGATTTATGCTCTTCTCATAGCGCCAAAAAAAAAAAAAAGAAGAAGAAGAAGAAGCTTGCAAGAACCACTTCATCAACTAAAGGCAATCAAGGGCTTTTTCCCATTTCAAAATATTTGGCTTGTTAGTCGAGGATATGTCACTACAGTTTACACCCTCCCCAAATCAACCTCACCACTGGATTTGAATCCCAACAGATTTGAAAATTCCATTACAGTCATTTTTCCAATAGCAGGCTAATGGACTTTTCATTAAACTTATCTGTCTTCTAAAAAAAAAATGAAAGAAAAAAATGTGGCATACACACACGTACACTAGGATTCAAGAGCAGGAAAAAATATTTCACTTTTACTGAGGCAAACTGCTGAGGAAAAATGAAAGCCCTTGGACTTTTAAAATTAATCTGCTGCTTCTTACCCAAGACATAGATCTCGCCGTTGAGTGCAGCCGTGCTGAATCGGTACTTGGAATACTTCATGGGCACACGCTCCGTCCATTGATCTTGGCTGGGGTCATACTGCAACAGTTTGTTGCTTAATCGATCAGGTTCTTCATCAGGAAGATCCATCTGTATGAAATATGACAGGTACTATAATAACAAACCACTTCTGAGGCCTTTGGGAGGCCACAGATGCAATTAATCAAAGCCGACAGCCGAGGAGATAGAGGGAGGTTAAGAGCAACAACCCAGACTCAGAAAAGCGTCAAAGGCCATGACTCGGGGGTTCTAAGTACATTGTCAATATTAGAGGAATTTATATCCTGTAATAATGAGGCTGATGTGTTGAGTCACGGCTAACGATTTGTGAACTGAACAGCGAGACCAGAGAACACCAGTCAGTAAAGCAACAGTACAAGCTTTGAGAAGAAAACCACTTTGGGGAACAGGTTTAAAAGTACATTTCATTATATCAGATTTTATAGTGGTGGGTTTTTAATATTCATTGTAAGAAATGAATTTGAAGAATATATGAGGCATTTTTTCTTAGTAGTATATTTTAAAATCTAAATTCAACAAAATTAGGATATGTTTACACTGCAATTGTGATCTATATAGGAATGATCTGAATTCAATTTGTTTTTGTTTTTGGACCATATTCAGCAGTTCTCAGGGCTTATTCCTGGCTCAGTGCTCAGGAGTCACTCCTGGCAGGGTTCAGGAGACCATTCTATGGTGCCAGGGATTGAAACTGGGTCTGCTGTGTGCCAGGCAAGATCCTTACCTGTTCTACTGTCTCCAGTCCCTGCATTTCAATTTTAAAGCTATATGGTTAGCATAAATTATTTGCAGTTATTTGATGTGTTTATAGATATCTTCACTGACAAAAGGCAGTAGGCAGTGACTGCGTGTTCTTTTACTGATGTGTCGCACCCAGGAACTGAGAGTGAAGTATTGCTTTTTGGTCTACAATGCATCAGGAACTCCTCTGACTTCAGGCTAAAGAGGCTTAAGTAGCTTTTGTTTCAGATGCAGGTGTTCAATCCAGAAATAACCACCACACTGATGGAAGCTGTATGCAATTAACTGTAGTTAACTCTCAGCGCATACAGTTACGCTTAGCACATTGCAATCACAACCCCACGTTACCCTGTCACTGACTGTTTTGTACTAAGTACAGATGAGCAAAAGCCTTTGCTATGAAATATTCATGTGTCATCTGTTCAGAGACATTCTACATTTATAAATATTGACCTTATTGTTTCCCTTTGCCGTTTAATTCCAGCATTTCATCTATATTTTACTGAAGAGAAGCAAAGGGAGGCTTCATCTCTATTTATTTGGAAGATAAGCAGAGTTGTTTGGGGAGCTCGGTCCTGCAGAATGAACTAGGAAACGGAGAGTTCTGCAGAAGCCTAATTACGAATAATTCACCAGGTTTCCGTTCCTAGCTGTGATTAAATCTGTATTGCCTTGAAATACACAGTCCAGCCTTTCAAATATATCAAATGTGAAATTTAACTTTTAAATAAAGGTATGGCATGGTATAAATGGGAAAACCCAAGCTTGTCAAAGAGAACACACAAAAAATAAGATACACTTCTCTTTCTACGTATATGTATCAGTTTTTATCATGAAGCACCTTTGGAGAAACAAGAAATAAGCAAAAACAAAAAATCAGTGTCATGGGGATGGACAATGGGTGATGATTCCTTTGTAACCGGAAAGACTGGATGGGTGGGTGGGTAGTCACAGGGCAGCTGGGTACTATCACAACAACACTATGGTCCAGGAGGGGCGTCCTGGGAAGAGAGAAGGTGAGGGTGAGGGTGCTCTGGTGACTTCTCAGGTTTGGCTGGCCAGACTTCAAGAAACAGCTCTGTATGCTATCACTATATGCCCAATTCCCAGCCATGGCACCAACTTTCCTACAGTCTAAATATATACATGCAGGAATGATGGTGCCAACATGGGCAAAGACCTGAGAGTTCCTTGCCTCGGGTCACACAACGATGGAGCAGACAGCACGGGGTTAAGGCTCCGGCATTTCTCCCCCAGAGAATTCCTGGGTATCAGCATCTTTCCTGGTTAGCCAGCCGGAGGAGGGTTAGGAAGAACTGAGCACAGAGATGGTCACGTCTCAGATTAACACGCATTAGAATGCATTCTCCCAAATTGCTTCTCGAAGACTGTTGAGTCTTCAGTTTAATGTTTTATACACCAGCGAGCATGTAACCAAAATGTTAGCCATACGCTTTTAGTACTTAACAAAGACAGCACCTAGCCATGCCAGGAGACAGGAAAAGCCTTTAACCTGGGGAGTCCAGCCTCCAATCACATAAAGTTTATTCTTCACTGTCACCACTGCGTGGCATGCCAAGGGTAGTGGAAGGGGAGACACCCTTTTCCAATAGTCCTGTTCTACACTGTACTTATCAACACAGTTTGTAATCAGATACTGGTTCTTAATTTTCATCTGTCCTCCTATCACATAGAGGTCATTGTGGACACTGCCCAGAGCATACAGCTCTCGGAATTCAGTTGTGCATAACTTTTCCCAGAACTGGTTTCCTCTATCATGATACCTGTAAGTGAAGAGAGAGAGAGAGAGAGAGAGAGAGAGAGAGAGAGAGAGAGAGAGACTCAGAATTAGCAGCAACACAAAACCCGCGTACCCAAGAAATATACTCAAGTTTCTTTTTCCACCTAAAAACAATTTGTTTCTTCTAACTGGAGAGAAAAAAATTGTCAAAGATTGCTTCTGGGTCAGAAATATAAAGACCCGGAGCTGGAGCGATAGCACAGCGGGTAGGATGTTTGCCTCACATGCGGCCGACCCAGGTTCAATTCCCAGCATCCTATACAGTCCCCCGAGCACCGCCAGGAGTGATTCCTGAGTGCAAAGCCAGGAGTAACCCCTGTGCATTGCTGGGTGTGACCCAAGAAGCAACAAGACAAAACAAAACAAAACAGAAATATAAAGGCCAACGGGGTGAACACCTACTTTGCATGGGGGAGACTTAGGCTTGATTCCCAGCACCATCTGGCCCCTAAGCGCGACCAAGAACAGCCTCTGAGCACAGAATTGAGAATAGCTCCTGAGCTCTGCCATGTGTATCCCGAAACCAAAAATAAGATTGGATTATAGATTTGCACTTTTCAAAAAAGAATTGATGAGGGTTCGGAAAGGTAGACAGCACAGTGGTAGGGCACTTGCCTTGCATGCAACAACCTGACTTCTATCCCTGGAATCCCATATGGTCCCTGAGTCCTGTCGGGAGTAATTCCTGAGCAGTCAGGAGTCAGCCCTGACTACTGCTGGGTGTGGTCCCCCAAATAACACCCCCCCTAAAAAATAAAAAAGGATTGATGAGCTAAGTACAATGTACATTAAATAACCACAACTACCTAGAGAATTTTAGGAAACAGTCTATTGGAAATAGATTATCAAGCACAGTCTTCATTTTTTAACTCTGGAAGAGAAAGTCAAGGACAAATAGGAGAAAAGGGAGTTGGAAAAAAGAATAGGAAAGTCACTGAGAAAAATTATTTTTAATTTCACTATAAGAATAAGAAAAAGTAAAAATATGTAAAATGTCTTCTATGGAACTGGAGGTCTCTCTTTAATACTATGCTAATTTATTTTAGAGCAGAAAATCTGAAAATATCTCAATTCAGAGATTTCTACTGGGATCTTAAGAGTTATACAGAATCTTAAGCATTGTTCCTGTGGTCCTAAATGACTTAGAATAGTCAAGACTACCCGTAGGTGTAAAAAATTCCACCTGTAGGTGTATATGGGCATTTGGCATCTATTTTAGTCTTCTGGGTATGATATTTCAGTAATTGCATCTATGAATAATTATGTTCATCTGGGAAGAGTTACTAGGTATGAGTTTATATGTGTATATACGTGTATATATAGGATATATGTTCTCTCAATACTTCTAGAGTGCAACTCATTAAATAAGTGTATGGGCGAGTGTGTGCATGCATATAACATGTGTGTATGTGGGGGGGCATTATACAGTGTGAACAGGCTTTGGTTCATTCATCTTGTCTCTTGATAACTGTGTTTCTTTTCTCCACTCGTGATTTGGGGCACTGAGTCCAAGAAAGGCGAACATTCTAGGGGAACAGTGGGAGAAGATAAGCACAATTAGAAGCTCCATCCCAGAAAACTACAGAAGGAAAACCTGGAATTGAAATCTAAAATTTAAAAAAGCCAGGAAAAATAGCAAATAAGAAAAAAAAAGCTGTTATGCTTAGGAACAAAGTCCTCATAGTATGCATGTTTTATTGAAAGGGGAAAAATTAAAAATATATAAAATTAAAAAAAAAAAGCATGGCTGAGTAACTGCATCAGACAGCCACAATCCTCACATAGGTTTTCCCCTTGTTGATGTCAACTTTTCTCTCCCACAGAGTAACTCCTGGCTTCCAGCTTGACAAGGAAGAAGATGGAAGTTTGTGCTCCTTCCCTGGTGGGCATGTCTGGCTTGTCACAAGCGGAAGGTGGAAATCGACCCGTTACATGAGCGCTGTCTTCTGTCACTTTCTATGTTCAGCCCCTAGAATCACCAATATTTTCACTATTTTTAATTACAATGATTTTTAGAAGAGAAAGAAGGACTGGGTATCTGCATATACAGGGGCTACTGCATTAAAGCTAGTGAATGTACACATAAATAGAATGAAAAAAAAGACTTGAGACACGACATATAAGAAAATAGTTGTAGAATAAAATATGGCTTATGAGGTTTGGAAAAGGAATTTGCTGGGTCACTGACTAATCTTATTTCTGTTTGGACATTGAACCGAAGATGAAGGGAGAGAAAATGTCCGGATCAAAATATGACTTTTATTATTAAGAAAAATAAATCGTGAAAAAAAATAATAGTGAAAAAAGCATTCTATGTTCATAGAGGTTGACATGTTATTTTATTTTATTTTATTTGCTTTTTGGGTCACACCCGGATATGCACAGGGGTTACCCCTGGCTCATGCACTCAGGAATTACCCCTGGCGATGCTCAGGGGACCTTATGGGATGCTGGGAATCGAACCCGGGTCGGCTGCGTGCAAGGCAAACAGCCTACCCGCTGTCACTCCAGCCCTGAGGTTGACATTTTAAAGATAACATTGATAATGGCTGTTTCCATGCTGAAGTACGGGGGGATAAGTAAAAAAAAAAAAATGGAAAGGCACATTTATTTTTGTTTTGGGGGCCAGGTGTGCTCAGAGCTTACTCCTGGCTCTGCACTCAGGGGTCACTGCTGGTGGGCTTGAGGGACCATCTGAGAGGCTGGCAATCAAACCCAAGCCGGCCTCACGCCAGACAAATGCCCAACCCCCTACTCTCTCATCTCTCCGGCCGCAAGAAAGAAACATTGTTTCAAAAAAGAAACGGTTCGGGGAGTCAGAGAAAGAGCACAGTGGGCAGGACGCTTGCTTTCTCTGCCGCCGGCCCAGGTTCAATCCCGAGCAACCGTCAAGGGCACCCCAGGCACCACCGGGTGTGACCCCTGAGCACCCCAGGCACCACCGGGAGTGACCCCTGTGTCCCCCCAGCCCCACCCCTCCCAAAGGAGATAAGACACAACGGCTGACTTAGAACCCGACCACGTCAAAGTCATCCCGACCCACGTCCCCTTAGGACGCCAAGGGACCAACCTGTAGATCTCCACGTTCCGGCCCTTCTGCCGGGCGAGCCTGGGCGCGCTGGCCTCCCCGGCCACCACCACGGCGTTGCTGTCCATCACCACGCCCGCGCACACGGTGCCCAGGCCCTCGCCGTACTTGGGCGACGAGATGAAGTAGGTCTTGCGGGCGACGGGGTCGTAGCAGAAGCTGGCGTCGCCGTAGCTCCGGTGCCGGGACCGGATGCCCGCCGAGTTGTTGCCCAGGCAGAGCAGGAGGCTGGTGGTCTCCATGCCGTAGCGCAGGGGCGCGTGCGGCGGCCGCGGGGCCTTGCTGGCGGCGAAGGCGCGCTGGATGCGGGCGATGCAGCCGGCGTCGCTCAGCAGCAGGGGGCTCCGGCGCAGGGCCTGCCGGAGGAACGGGGGGCTCACCAGCTCCAGCCGCACCTGCTGCAGCAGCTCGGGCAGGTGCGCGGCGCGCAGGGCCCGGTCGTGGTCCACCCAGCGCAGGACCAGCTCGAGGATGCTCTCCTCCCGGGACACGTTGAGGTCGTCCGACCTGATGAGCGCCAGGAACTGGTGCTCCTCCACGTCCAGGATTTCCTCCTGCAGGCAGGCCTCGGCGAAGTGCTGGTACAGGTACTTCCGCGACCGATCGCAGAGGTCCTCGGCGCCGATCTGCTTGGCGAAGTGGTAGATGCCCACGCAGTTGGAGGCGTCCATGTGGTCCATCATGTACTTCTGACACACGCCGAAGACGTCTTCCATCTGCATGAAGTAGGCGGCCGTGGCGACCGTCTGCACGTTGGCGTTGTCGATCTGAAGCGCCGCGCTGTACATGTAACGGAGCAGGACCGACACGCTGTCCGCCGTGATGTCGTGGAGGGTCACCTCCCTCTGAGAGCACTCCAGGAGGCCACAGGTGAACATGGCTTTGAAATAAGGGCTGAAGGCGGCCAGGACCAGTCGGTGGCAAGGAAATCTCTCTCCTTCTGCTATGAGCACCACATCGATCATTTCCGCGAATTCTCTCATGTTCTTAATTTGCTTCAGCAAATTCAAGCTATGATGACATTTTCCTGCGTCCTCGAGTTTGCATTCCATGATATCCTCTCCCGACTTTTCAGTTCCTTCTCCTTGAGGTTGAGCTTGGTGCTTAAGGGGCTATTTGCATGTCTGATTACTCTAAAAGCGACCGAGATGGCACAGCTCAGCCCTGATGGAAAGAAAACACACAGTTGCCTTTTGAGAAATAGTTTTATAATTTAAAAAGGCAGCAGCGGTTTTGAGAAACGTTTATAGGCAAATGTTATACATGCCATATAGAGTATTTATACATATGTGTGTGTGTTTAATCTTAAAACAGCTACGTGAGTATCTAAAAATGCTTATTGACTGCATAAACAGCAAGTTATTTTTTATTTTATTATTATTTTTTAAATTTTTATTAGTGAAACATCACGAGGTACAGCTGTAGACTTACAAATTTTTATGCTTGGGTTTCAACCATACAATGATCAAGTACCCATCCCTCCACCAGTGCCCACCCTCCACCACCACGGATCCCAGTATCCCTCCCACCCCCCCACCCCACCCCCACCCCCCCTGCCTCTGTGGCAGGGCATTCCCTTTTGTTCTCTCTGTCCTTTTGGGTGTTGTGGTTTGCAAAAGAGGCAATGAGTGGCAATCATGTTTGGTCTATAGTCTACTTTCAGCATGCTTCTCCCATCCTGGGAGGACAGCAAGTTATTAACTACAGACATGATATTTTCCTTTGTATCAGTAGAGATTTTTTCCCCCAGGAGAGCTAGGAAGTTCTCTCTCTAAAGGTGAAGGAAGCAGTGATAAGTTAGGCATTTTGCAATTCCGCCTATAAATTGCACCTCATCCCCTGGCATAGGGTGTAGGATGTTAGGTAATGATCTTTGTACTTTGTTGGAATATAGCTCCAAATATTAGGCTTAACATTGGTTTGCCCTTTCCCCCTTGCCACAAGGAACTCAGGTTTATTAAAGTGCTCCTGAGGCACTTCCATTCCATTGTGTTTATCTGTAACCTCTTCCCCATGCTCTCCTCCCCACCCAGTTAATCAGCTTTTCCCCTAATCAGTATCTGTTAATTTGTAAGGTCAAATCCTTCTAGGACTTTGAAATTGTATTGTAAGTTAATGTTGCCTTTCTCCTCTCCTTATGTCTTTTGAATAGTTTACTTTAAAGCAATGTCCTTTTTGTAATAAATATAGGAAGACAGTTAATATTATGCTTTGTAACTTAGGGTTTAATTGGCTTTGAATATTATTCACTCCCGGGCATCTACTTTCTTGATTTAAGCCTCAGTTGCCCCAGGTTCCTAACACCCCAAAAGCAGGGTCCTGACAAGGGACTGAATGGACCCAGGGCAAGTGGTGAGCTACCCTGGCATCGAAATGGGCCAGGTCAAAGTGCCACGATTCTTAACTATAAATTAAGAGCTTGATCATAGACAAATGCTGTCATGATCCAAACGACGAGACTAGGACCCTGCTAGGGATAGGAAAGACTATCTGGCCTGAGCTCTGTAGTCCGAGATTAAGATGGCCCTAGGAGAGCAATTCTATAAGTTTAAGGTATTTCTTACTGTATCCATACAAAATGATTTATATTATATATGCTTATATATTTGTTGGACAAGGAGAGAAGAAACACACCCAGGGGATCCTGCTCTAGGATGGGTTGATCTGATAATGAGAATCTGTCCTAGAAGTGGCTTTCCCCGAGGGAAAGAATTCTACCCCTATTGATTGTGACCACACCTATGTGTAATTGTTACCCCAACCCCTCATGCTGGGGGATATAACGAGACTGTAAGATTGGGCTAGGGGAGGCAGAGGAGAAACTGAAGTGAATGGAGAGAGGATTGGAATAAACTGCAACTGACACCAACCAGCCTGGCCCTCATTCCTTCCTTCACCTGCCCATTGCCATCGACCTCCCCAGGGTTGGGGAACCAGCGTGAGACTACCGAACACGGGCAGTGGGAGAGATAGAGCTGCTGCTGTTTTTTTTTTTGAGTTTACACAGTACTTGAACTTTTTTTCTTTTAAAATTGTGTGTGTGTGTGTGTGTGTGTGTGTGTGTGTGTGTGTGGCTGGAGCAATAGCACAGCGGGTAGGGCATTTGCCTTGCGTGCGGCCGAAACTGGGTTCGATTCCCAGCATCCCATATGGTCCCCTAAGTGCTGCTAGGAGTAATTCCTGAGTGCATGAGCCAGGAGTAACTCCTGTGCATCGCCAGGTGTGACTGAAAAAGCAATAATAATAATAAAAATAATAATAATAATAATTGTGTGTGTGCTGGGATCAAATCTAGGGCCTCACACATGGAAGAAGGAAAGAGCTCTGCCTCTGAGTCACCTCCTTGGTCTGGGAAATAGGCTTTAGGATGCAATTATCAAGCAAAGATGGGGGTACACCTCCAAAAAAAATCATGGCAGGGAATCTTGTAGGGTGTTGGGGAAACAAAAGAGCCACTAAAATTCTGCTCAGGGCCTGGAGAGATAGTACAGTGGGTGGGTAGGGCACTTGCCTTGCATATGGCTGACCTGGTTCAATCCCCGGCATCCCATATGGTTCCGTGAGCACCGCCAGGGGTAATTCCTGAGTGCAGAGCCAGGAGTAAGTAACCTTTGAGCATCACCTTAATCTTAAGACAGCTTCGTGCGTATCTAAAAATGCTTTTGGCTGCATAAACAGCAAGTTGTTAACTACAGGTATAATATTTTCCTTTGCATCAGTATGACACAAAACCAAAAACACAACACTTAAAATTCTGCTCGGATTTTGTTACTGGGCATTAACTGAAGACCGTGGACCACATAAAGATTGTTTCTACTTGGGAGCTCACAACCAAATGTCAGCTATTGACAGTACTTGAAAATAAACATTTCTCCCTCCCAGGATGGGAGAAGCATGCTGAAAGTAGACTATAGACCAAACATGATTGTCATCCATTGCCTCTTTTGCAAACCACAACACCCAATAAGAGAGAGAGAACAAAAGGGAATGTCCCCTGCCACAGAGGCAGGGTGGGATGGGGGGATGAGGGGTGGGAGGGATACTGGGATCCATGGTGGTGGGAAATGGCCACTGGTGGAGGGATGGGTATTTGATCATTGTATGGTTGAAACCCAAGCACAAAAATTTGTAAGTCTACAACTGTACCTCATGGTGTCTCACTAATAAAAATGTAAAAAAAAAGAAAATAAACATTTCAAACTAAATCATCCTGACCTTAGAAGATGCACACAAGTATCCCAAGTTTCTGCTTCTCTTTGTTCTTTCTGTTCATTTGTTCGGGGCCACAACCCTTCACGCTCAGGGCTGACTCCTATTCTGTGCTCGGGGATCACTCCTGATGTGACTCAGGAGACCGTAAAAAGGACCAAGGATGGAATCTGGGTCAGCCATGTGCAAGGCAAGCAATCTTCCAGAAAGCCTGCTGCCCTAACCTCTCTTTGTTCATTAATTCATAGAGGCAGAGGCCAAAGTACTTCTCACCTTAAAAAAAGCACCAGTCTACTGCAAGTCTCTTTAAGCTAGAAGTGGCTGCATTCCTTCCCGAGGGGAAAAGAAGCAGGATGTTCCAAGGAAGCTAATTAGGTGGTTTGCTTTAAAAGAAAGCCAGTCCAAGAGTCAGAAACAGTGATGGCAGGAGAGAGCTAAGCCCCTGCAGGCGTTCTAACAAGAGAAAGACCTTGTATGTAAAGAGAACCAAAAAGTCTGGTTGCAAAGGAGGGAGAAGAGGTGGTGATTTCAGTAAAGGCAGAGTGAAAGTTTTCAGCTGTAAATAAAATTTATTATTATTATTATTATTATCATCATCATCATCATCATCATTTGTTTCCAAGCAGTGCTCGTGGGGACAGGAGATAGGGATATATCTGTGGGACACTCCCAGCACTATTGTCCCAGCCAGGCTGGACAGGTCAATGCTAAGACACGGAGGTGTGCTTTCACTAAGGCCCAGGCTGCTGGGCGTCATCAAGGACACCTCACCAGTGCTGGAATCCTCCAGGGTCACTTGGTAGGACTTGGTGGTGGACATGCGGGGCCAGCGACTGAACTAGGGCCTCACACACCTGAGTTATATTCCTGATCCAAATAGCAGTTGTTTTTGTAAATTCCTGTAATCCCATAAAGGATTAGAAACCTTGGACCAGAACCATAGTACAGAGGGGTTAGGGTTAGGGTAGTACACTTGCTTTGCACACAGCCTGGGTTGTTCCCCGGGACTCTCACAGTTTCTTGAGTCTACCAGGAGTGATCCTTGAGCACGGAGTCAGGAGTAAGCCCTGAGCACCAACATGTGTGGCCCCCATACAAACAAACAAACAAACAAAAACAGAAAAAAGAATTAGAAATCTCATGTGCCTTTCCGGGTACTTTGTACAGGGCTGAATTAAAGTTCGTTTCAGGAAACAAATATTAAGCATCATAGGAACGTCTAATTACATAATGGCAATTATAACATCTAAAAGTCACCGTGTGGAATTATAATAACTAGCCAATTGTAGACTCTATAGCCTCTGATGACACCTTCCTTGCTGGCGTTTCTGGCACAAATGACTCAGCTTCATTTCAATAAAAGCTTAAAAGTTTCTTTGGGAGTGTTTTCAGGCTAAAAGTCAAACCTGACTTTTTACCTTTTTACTTTTTTTACGAAGAGAATCCAATTTTCAAAGATTTCACACAGATAATCCAATGTGGAAACTTAGGAGGTCATAGATTTCTGAATTCTCCTCCAGCAATGTCAGGACTAGTCCAAATCTTATTATGTGGACTTCTTTACACAGAAACATATCAGCCAACTTTACATATGACAGCTGTTTCTTGGGGCTCAACAACATAAATCCTTACTTAAAAGGAAGCAGATCTTAAAAAAAAAAATCCCTTGATTCCGTTTGTACTGACATACCAGAATCCTAATACTTACATTATTCGAAACCCACAAGCAGGGGTGGGTAGGTTGCTTGCCTTGTGAATGGCCAACCAGAGCTTGATCCTGACATTCCACCCATAAGGTCTTTTGAGCACTACTGGGAGCGAGTCCTGAGTGCAGAGGCAGGAG